TTCTTTCTTAAAAAAAAAAAAAAAGAAAAAAAAACAAAAAGGAATCAGGCTGGGTTAGAGAAAGATCAGCCTACTCAGTGGGGATAGGAGGGTTGTCCAGGTGGACTGGGGAAGGTTCAACCTCCATAATGACTTCAGTAGCTATGATGAGGTCCATATCCTTATTTTTAACTGTGCTATTAGGTAAAGTTGAATTACTTTCAAACATTGAAGACAGATTTAGAGGTGAAAATACCATCTCATCATTCAATGACCTTAAAAGTCTGCGGAGAGCTGAGCTGGAGGCTGAGTTGTGGGCGATTGATGGACTGGAGGAAGTTCATTTTCATGGGTATTTAGCTGCTGCATGAAAATCTCTTGCTGGTCTTTCAAATGTTTAAACTGCTCAAGGGACATTACAAACTTATCTGGGGCCCCCTGTTGGGTTAAAGTTTCAACCTGTTAGGTGAACTCTGGAATCATGGTTACCATGTGATTCACAGGCTTAACAGTGACATGGTGCCATGTTGAAGGCTGAACTTGATCATGACGTAGAGAAAGTGTTACCTCATGATATGCTAGAGGTTGAGTTACGACTTCATTAGGGATCTCTGAAGGCTGAGCTGGGGCCTATTGCTGGGTTGGAGAAGACTGAACTTCCTCAGGCATCTGTGGATACTCAGCTGCAGTCTCCTGCTGGGTTGCAGAGGGGTTCTCATCTTTAGTAGGTTCTGGAGATTGAACTGAAGTCTCCTGTTGAACTGGTAAAGTCATCTTCTGATGACTATAGAGGCAGAGGTGGGCCCCCCTGCTGAGTGGTGGAAGGTTTCATATTTTCTGGCCCCGATAGCTGAGCTGTAGCCTCCTGGTGGACTGGAGAAGTTCCCACCTCCGCAGTAGGCTCCGTTGCTGTGGTGAGCTGCACGTCTGGAGGATTAACAGTGACATTAGGCAAATTTGAATGGTGAGCTTGAATGTGACCTGGAGGTGAAACTGTTACTTGATGTTCTAGAGGCTAAGCTGGGATCTCCTGTGGGCTAGAGAGGATTCAACTTCCCCAGAAGACTCGGAAGGTAGACCTGGCTGCTCCTGCTCCCTGGAAAAAGGTTCAGCCTTCACAGGAGGACCTGGAGACTCAGCTGTGGCTTCCTCTTGGGTTGCAGAAGGTTTTACCTCTTCTGGAGGCTGGGCTGGAGCCTCCTGCTGGGCTGGAGAAGATTCAGTGTCCTTGGTAGGCTCGAAAGTTATGCTAATCTCTACATGCACAGGTTTAACTCTAATTTTGGGCAAGTTATAATGAGCTTGATCCTCATCCTGAGTTTGAACTGTCACCTCATGATTCAGTGGAGTTTGATCTGCACTCTCCATAGACGACTTTGGAGGATCAGCTATGGCCTCCTGCTGGGTCTGAGAAGGTTCAACCTAACCATGAAACTCAGACAGAAGGCTAAACTGGCTCTTCCTGCTCACTTTGAGAAGGTTCAGCCTCCACAGGAGGAATTGGAGGCTCAGCTGAGGTCCTTTGCGGGGTTGCATAAGCTCTCATCTCCTCAGGGTGCTCTGGTGTTCGTGTTGGGCCCTCTAATTGGGTTTAGGAGGAGTTCACCTCCTCGGGGTGTTCTGGAGGCTGAGCTGTGGCCTCTTCCTGGCTTGATATAAGTCCCTTACCTGGCTCTGGAGTTACTGTAAGCTCTATATCCACAGGTTTGACTGTGACATTGGGCAAATGTGAGTGCTGACAACTTTTTGATGGAATATTTACCTGGTGATGTACTTATGGCTGAGCTACAATCTCTTCAGAGGCAGGTAGCTGCTGTGCTGGGGCCTCCTGCTCTGTTGAAGAGTGGATTCCCTCAAGGGACTATGAATGAAGGTAGAGCTGGGGCCTCCTGCTGGATTGAAGAAGGTTCAGGGAAATTGCACTGGGGCTTTTTGCTTGAGTGAAGAGGAATGATCTGTTCAAGGGTCTCTGGATTTTGAGTTTCAGGCTCTAGATGGAATTGAGTAGTCCAGCTTGCTCAGGGGGCCCTGGAGGCTCATCTGAGTTCACCTGGAGTTCTGGAGGTAGGCTTTCGGGATACAGTATATCCATAATTGAATCTAAATACTTGCCCTGCAAAGTTTGTTTCTGATGCTCAGGTTTTAATACAAATCGGTGTGGAGTTCCAACAACAACCTTAGCAAGCCTCCTATGCTGAGCCAGATCTTTCTTCAGGCTCTTGGGCGAAACACTAGTCTTCATTGCTTTTGAATTCTGATTATCTAGAGGTGGAACAAATATTTCCTATGCCTTATGATCTGAAGCCTGATCTAGACCTACAGTTTGAACCTTACTTTTGAGGCAAAGAGGCCATGCTAGCGTCTGGTTCTGATCCAAGTTCCACTGGAGCCAACTCTGGGAGCCTTTCTTGCTGAGTCAGCTTGTCATTCAGATCCTGCTGTGCAGCTGTGAACTTCTCTGGCCCCAAGGGCAGCTCCCCAGCTGAATCCATGTCCAGGAATGGAACCAAAGTCTCAGTCAGGTTCCTGAGGTGAAGCTGACATCTGGGAGGAAGTAGAGGACCCCATATTATCAAAGCCCCTGAGTCTGTTGGGGGCAGGCCTAGATAAGTGCTGGGGAGATTCTGGTGGGAGATCAATGGAGCGTGAAGACCAGGGCTCAGTAGGCCTCAGGGGGTTGGAGGTCAGCTGGAGTGGGCCCTGGACCCACTTCAGAGGCTGAGTCTCCTGGGCTAGGAGCTACAATAGTTGTCATGTGAGGAGGGGCCATGGGGCCCTGAGAGGCAGATGGGACATGACATATGTTAGCTCCCTGCACTGAGTGGCAGTCATCATGGCAGCCCCTAGAAGCTGGCACCCCTAGAAACCATGTGCTCCACCTCACCCATTATTTACCACATCTTTATTTAGGCAACTATTATTAGGCTCTGGTCTAGATCCTCTCAGTCACCAGAGCACTCTTATCCCACAATCCCACCCAAGCCTCCCCTCCTGCCCCACCAGAACACCCCCCGCTCCTGCCCCACCAGAACACCCCTCCCTCCTGTTCATCAGGAATGATTTGGACAGAAGACCCAGGTGGTCCCAGGACTCCAGCAGCCTGTTGTGTTGGGGTGGGGTAGGGGCATGACAGAGCTTCCCAAGGAAGTTACGGGACCTTGCCTCGAGATATTCAGACGTGCTAGCCAAGTTCTGGCTGCCTAAACTTCCTCCTCCAAGCTGAAATCTGAGAGATACTCATTCTCCTCTAGGCCATACTGCTTCCAGGGAGAGCAATTGACCTGCAAAATATGCCAGTTAAGGTGGCAGGAAGTCCATACATTAGTCATTCATTCCTAAATGTTGCCATTTTTGCTAAACCTTCCATATCCTTTGTTGCATGTTTGATAATTCACCACCCTATTAGGTAGGGGCTGCCAGGGAATAAGGGAGAACTCCAAATTTTCTGCAGGAGGGGCTTTGGGGGGTGGGCAATTCAGTCTGGTAGAGAAGGCTAAACCGATTGAATAGCCCTTTGCACTAGCCTGGGAGGAGGCTGAACTCTCAGCCTGCCTTGACTTAACACAGCCATTACCCTAGAAATTACAGTGTCACTCTTCAGAGGTCTACCCTGTATGCACATGTGGAGAAGCAGCTTAGGTTGTTAAAATCAGCATGTTAAATAATTTATTTCCTGAAATGTGACTATAACTAGAACCCAGCTGACTTCCCCCACACCCATTGTTACCTATCTTATTACTCATTGTCTGGCACAATCCCCAGCAAGTGAACTCCAAGAAGGTGCTTCATCTTATTCCAGTGCCTAGCACAGGCATGTGGTGCAGAGTAATGGTTTTACAATGGAAGGAATTCCAAGACTCACCTCATTTAGGGGTGGATCTATTGTTATAACCAGATTTCTGAAATCAGTGCTGACTTCCTTTCACATTTCACAGAGCTAGACTTCTTAAAGCTCGAAGCTTTCTTGATGGGTTTTATTTAAATTGAATTAAAATAATATTTTGCAGGGAAAAACTTCAAAACACTTTGCAACTTTGGAGTGAAAGTTAAATAAAACACTCTAGCTCTAAATTAAGTTCCCACTGAAATAAAACATTCCATATGTAGTAAATAATCATTGTTTTCTTTCAGAAATTAATTTAGAATCTTAATCCCTATTTAAGAGCTTTCATATACATTCATGCATTGCTTGCCATGTGAGGAGGAGCTTGAGAAATGTGTCATTAGGTGATTTCACCACTGTGCTAACATCATAGTATATAATTCCACAAACCTAGGTGGTATAGCCTACAGCACACCTAGGCTATATGGTATAGCCTATGGCTCCTAGGCTATAAACCTGTACCATATGTTACTGTACTGAATATCAAAGGCAATTGTAACACAATGGCAGGTATTTGTGAGGTAAACATGGAAAAGATATAGTAAAAATACCATAAAAGATAAAAAATGGTATAGCTGTATAGGGATAGCTCCATTATACTCTTAGGGAACCACCATCATATATGTGGTCTGTTGTTGACCAAAACATCATTTTGCAGCAAATGATTCTAACTGATTTACAGAAAATCTTCATCAAAATAGTCTACCCAAGATATATGGGAGGTATTGATATCCAGGTGATAAGCCATATTTGAAAGTCATTATAGTTTTCAAAAGCTGTAGTACAATCATTCTTAAGGCCAGTAACCTCCCCATATCTCTGGGATCCTGTTTGAAGGGAGTTCTAAAAAGGTCTGTGTTCAAGTAGCCCAGCATCCTAACTCCTGGGGGAGACTAACCCCTCTCCTGTGTCCACAACTGTAGTAATATTCTAATAGTCCTCAGTTTTGCTCTCCAAACTTCAAATAAGGAGTCAGAGCCAAGGGTCAGAGCTTCAAGAAAAGCCCCAGAAATACACTGCACTCAAAAGCAGTATCACATTTTCCTAAGAATAAAACAAATTATCCTTCAAATTCTGCTGGTTGTTTTGAATTATGGTTACAATGGCTATGTTACCCCTGAATTTTTATCCCACATACTTGAATTAAACCATGTAGCTCCTCTTCCCATCTGACATCTACGATCTCTTCACTGGGTCTGTACTCCACAGCTATTTTACCACTTTCTGAAATAAAGTTAGCAAGGATCAATTCAGAATCTTTTTCATTTTAAAACTTCCTGCAAATAATGGTAGCACCCCATGATGAGACATTCTTTTGGTTTCTAAAAGCAGAAAACAAGGGCATTTTCCTGGAAGTTTTTTTATCTCCTCATCTCACACTTCAGTTTTTTCTTTCTTTCCTTTTTTTTTGGAGGCAGGGTCTCACTCTGTCACCCAGGTTGGTGTACAGTGGCATTGTCATAGCTCACTGCAGGAATTCCTGGACTTAAGTGATCCTCCTGCCTCAGCCTCCAAAGTAGCAGGGACTACAGGTACACACACCATTGTGCCTAGATAATTTGTTTTTTTTAGAGACAGACATGGTCTTGCTTTGTTGCCCAGGCTGGTCTTGAACTCCTGACTTTAAGTGATCTTCCTTGGCCTCCCAACGTGCTGAGGTAACAGGTGTGAGTCACCACATCCGGCCTCACACCTCAGTTTTTAACATATGTATGAAATAACTGTGTTTGGTTCAAAGAACTTTATGATCTTACAGATAGGAACTAAGGAATAATGACATAAAAAGTTTAAAATGTGGAAACAAACAGGCCTTCATGGAAAAACATAGTTGGGAAAAAAATGTGGAAACAAAAATGTTCAATCATAATATGATTAAATGGTAAGGTAACAGGTGGGGGTTAAAGTAAGTTCAAATCTGGAATAGAGACCACTGTGCTAGTAGACACTTCGCATTAGAAGCAAGGGCCAGGTGTCTACTACCTAAGAACCAAGATTTCACCAGATACAATGAACAAAGCTTCTGAGAGAGAGAACATTTGAATATTTTATTGGCAGAATGTGGCCTACATACTCTTATAGACAACAGAACTTTCTTCAAGGAAAATGAGAGCCATAAGAAGTTTGAGTGTGTGCAAGGGACACCTTCATATACTAGGGAGAGGTAAACAACCCACATATCTAGTTTGGTTCTTAAAGGTTGTTACTCAGACTTGACAGTTGATGACCAAGGAAGTAAGAATTTCACTAGAAGGGCTGTTGCTTAAGTTGGAAAGCTGAGAGCAATCAGGGGCACCTCTTAGAAGCAAATAAAGCTCTGTGGTAACTTAATTAGGATCTCTCAGTCTCTAAGCCTTCAGGGCTGTGAAGCAGAAGAGCAACTCTGTTCAGGGACTCTTTGCTAATCATCAGGTTTCCTTTGGGCACAGCCTGTAACGTTCTTGCCACTGTAGAACTCAATAGGGAATAGAATCAATGCCATTCAATAGCATGACCACTTCCAAGGCTCACAGCAAAGCAGCTGATTATTGTGTAAGAATCATACTTGCCTAATGTGTCAGTGCCAGAAATGAAAGCTGAAACTGAATTCTTGATTCAGGAAACATCACCTAATAAACTCTTCAGCAGAGAGTTTATTTATTCAGAAATAAATCAACAATGACAATAATAGTTAATATGTCTGCTTACCCTGTAAGTGTAGTTCTTAGTTTTTACATTCATCATCTCATTTACTCTTACAATATCCCCCATAAGGTTAACTGAATTACTAACTCTGGTTTGTAGATGAAGAGACTGAAGCTTAGAGATATTAAGTATCTTCAAATCTCTCTGGCTAGAACACCTAAAATTGCATTAAAAATCTAAGAGACAGAGTTAGGACTCAAATCTATGTATCCAAAGCTTATAATAATTATTGTATATGATAGGCAAGCAATCAAAGAAGACCTAGTTTAAACATTTTCTGTGGGAACTGAGGCAAGTCCTTTCACATCTGTAAACTAGAAACAATATCTGCTGTGTTTTTTTTTTTTCACAAATGTCACAAAGAACAAATTTGAGCCTGTTGCTGTGGAAGAATTTAGCAAATAAAAGCATACTATGGAGCGCTGTAGTTATCAATATTTTTATCCAATTAACTTTTCAAAATGAGTTTCTTTGCTCACTGAAACTGAAGTACTTCAAGGATGAACAAGAGAGTCTTACCTAGAACCACAATCAACAGTTTCTGAAATGCATTTGACAAAGCCTTCTGAATAGCAAGCTTCTGGGCTGTCTTCCTTTTCATAAGGAATGATAGTGGTCCTAAATCCAATCAAAACAAATGAATTTAAAATGCTTATCTGAGTAATAATTGCTATATGTTTAAAAAATAAAAATGCATCCACAATTCTTAGCTCATAATCTTCGTGATTACGGGCAGACAGCCCAAGGGTATGGTTGCATGGCTATGTTATAGGTATATCCTGGCAGGGCCCATTTTTACTGCTTCCATCTAGCTGGGAAGTTCCTGAAGTACTAGAAGGGAGATGGGAGCTAAGAACCTGGCACATGTCTCACAATACCCAGAGATTTCAAACTGGTCAAGGCTACACTCCTACAGACCCCACCCTCCTATGCATCAAGGGCTGGAACCACTCATTGAAAAAGGTTTGGTTGGCTGGACATGGTGGCCCACGCCTGTAATGCCAGCACTTTGGGAGGCCTTATGCAGGTAGAGGCCAGGAGTTCAAGAATAGTCTGACCAACGTGGTGAAACTTGAGGCCAGGAGTTCAAGAACAGCCTGGCCAACATGATGAAACCTCATCGCTACAAAAATTAGCCAAGTGTGGTGGCACATACCTGTAATCCTAGCTACTTGGGAGTCTGAGGTACAAGAATAGCTTGAACCAGGAGGCAGAGGTTGCAGTGAACCGATATCATGCCACTGCACTCCAGCCTGGGTGAGAGAGTGAGGCTGTCTCAAAAAACAAAAAAACAACAACAAAAAAAAGGAGGCCCGGCCAGGTGCCTCACATGTAATCCTAGCACTTTAGGAGGCTGAGGTGGGCAGATCATTTGAGGTCAAAAGTTTGAGAGCAGCCTGGACAACATGGTGAAATCCTGTCTCTACTGAAAACACAACAACAAAATAGCCAGGTGTGGTGGTATGCACTGTAATCCCAGCTACTTGGGAGGCTGAGGCAGGAGAATTGCTTGAACCTGGGAGGTGGAGGTTGCAGTGAGCCAAGATCATGCCAGTGCACTACAGCCTGGATGACTGAGTGAGACTCCATCTCAAAAAAAAAACAATAAAAAACCAACTTTGGTACAGATAAATCTGACTCCTCCATGGGCATCACCCACGGGAGCCTACTCCACTCCATTAGCCTATAGCCCTGCTTCTGACTTCAAACCCTAAGCCTGAGGGCCATAAATACTAGAAAAAAACCTCAACATTAATATCAATTGAGTACCCTTTCTAGGTATCTATATTAGACTATTTCTGCTGAAACCCTACTAAACTGAATGAATTTTTTTTTTTTTTTTGAGATGGAGTTTCGCTCGTTACTCAGGCTGGAGTGCAATGGCGCGATCTTGGCTCACCGCAACCTCCGCCTCCTGGATTCAGGCAATTCTCCTGCCTCAGCCTCCTGAATAGCTGGGATTGCAGGCACACGCCACCATGCCCAGCTAATTTTTTGTATTTTTAGTAGAGATGGGGTTTCACCATGTTGACCAGGATGGTCTTGATCTCTTGACCTTGTGATCCACCTGCCTCGGCCTCCCAAAGTGCTGGGATTACAGGCTTGAGAATTTTTAACATTCAGTAAAAAAAAACTGAATGTTAACACAAAAGTTTATATAAATCTTTAGATGATGACCTGGCATGATGGCTCATGCCTATAACCCCAACAATTTGGGATCCTCAGGCAAGAGAATCACTTGAGGCCAGGAGCTGAAGCTCAGGCGGGACAACACAGCAAGACCCTAGCTCTAAAAAAAATAAATTTAGCCAGGTGTGGTGGTGTGCACCTGTAGTCCTGGCTACTCAGAAGGCTGAGGCAGGAGGATCCCCTGAGCCCAGGAGTTTGAGGTTACAGTGATCTATGATCATGCTATTGCACTCTAGCCTGTTTCTAACAATAATAATAAATAAATAAATCTTTAGATGGTTTTGCCAAGATAACTGAAGGCTACAAGAGACACATATTTGGCTGGGTATGGTGGCTCAAGCCAAGGTGGGCAGATTGCCTGAGCTCAGGAGTTTGAGACCAGCCTGGGCAATACGGTAAAACCCTGTCACGACTAAAATACAAAAAATTAGCCAGGTGTGGTGGTGTGCGCCTGTAGTCCCAGTTACTTGGGAGGCTGAGGCAGGAGAATCACAAGAACTCGGGAGGCAGAAGTTGCAGTGAGCAGAGATTGTGCCACTGCACTCCAGCCTAGGCAACAGAGTGAGACTCCGTCTCAAAAAAAAAAAAAAAAAAAAAAAAACAAACAAGAAATGAAAGACTATTTTAGCACAAAGCAAGTTCTTAATCAAAAGCTGAAAAAAACCATTACTCTCTTTTTCCTCCTAAACCTCTTGGCAGGAAGTCAGGTGTACGATTTTAAATTTAAAGGTTCAATCAGGCATCGCTACAGTAAAAATCTATATTGTAAAACAGAAAAACTCTGTTCAGGACTTCAGTAGCTCAGAGAGAGAAGGGTTTGATATGTATCTGAAAAGATACGTTTTGCAAAGTTAGAAAAAAGAGAGATTCCTTCTACTCCAAATCCCTACCCAACTCCACCCCTAATGAAAACAAACCTTCCTCCATCTTATTCACAGGCTCCTCCACCAAGCCAATGCCAGGACTCCTGCAATCATAGGATGGCAACACCAACTCTAAAGCACAGAAGAACTTCAGGCTTTGCTTCAGAAGTGGCACCACAGTATCTCCATTCGCCCTTTCTTCAAGGTCAGAAAGCTCCTGCAGCTGTAAGGATATTTAATTTAAGATCCTTCCTAGGATCTTAATGTAGGCTTCAAAATATTTTGTTATTAGAAATAAAAACTAAACTCCAGCCATTCAAGCTAACAGTTGAGGTGTCTTATGGCTTCAAAATCAAGTTAGGTTTGCAAATGAACTGCTAGATAGAGACACCCATTTTTTATTATAGACCACACAAATAGTGGAGAAAATTATGGATACCACCATTCAAGTGACTGAGATTATTAATTCTAGGCAACAGGCCAACTCAGACATGTCCATTTATCCTCAATGGTAAGAGGCCTCTCATATCTCCTCCCTACAATCCAGTTCCATACTTCTGTTTAAAGTCTAGGATTTCAGTATTGAAAGGAGAGTGTGCTTAGTGAAAGAAAATTTACAAGGTTCACCTTGATGATCCTTTTTGACCATCCATTGAAACCAAAGTAGTAATTCGCCAGTTCTTGGCATTGGGAGCTGTTCAGGGGAAGGGCCTGATGTTGAACTGCCTTATGTCTGGTGCCAAGAAGAACCTAAAGTCACAAGAGATCAAGAGATAGACTCATAAATATCATAACCCATTAGAGATTTTACTTTGGACACACCGGGATTTATCAATACCAAGTGTGCAAAGAAAATAAATTGTTAGACCAATGGAACAGAACAGAGGCATCGGAGGCAACACAACATATCTACAACCATCTGATCTCTGACAAACTTGACAAAAACAAGCAATGGGGAAAGAATTCCTTGTTTAATAAATGGTGTTGGGAAAACTGGCTAGCTATGTGTAAAAAGAAGAAACTGGACCCCTTCCTAACACCTTACACTAAAATTAACTCCAGATGGATTAAAGACTTAAACATAACACCATAAAAACCCTAGAAGAAAATCTAGGCAAAACCATTCAGGACATAGGAGTAGGCAAGGACTTCATGACCAAAACACCAAAAGCATTGGCAACAATAGACAAATGGGACCTAATCAAATTCCACAGCTTCTGAATGGCAAAAGAAACAGTCATTAGAGTGAATCGGCAACCAACAGAATGGGAAAAACTTTTTGCAGTTTACACATCTGACAAAGGGCTGATACCCAGAATTTACAAAGAACTAAAACAGATTTACAAGAACAAAACAAACAAGCCCATTCAAAAGTGGGCAAAGGATATGAACAGACACTTGAGGTCAGGAGTTTGAGACCAGCCTGGCCAACATGGAGAAACCCTCGTCTCTACCAAAAATACAAAAAGTAGCTGGGCATGGTGGTGTGTGCTTGTAATCCCAGCTACTTGGGAGGCTAAGGCAGGAGAATCACTTAAATCCAGGAGGCAGAGGCTGCAGAGAGCTGAGATCATGCCACTGCACTCTAGCCTGAGCAACAGAGCAAGACTCAGTCTCAAACAAAACCCCAAAAAACAAAAACAAAACCCTCTCAGGTACATTAGGCCTTTCTTTGATTTTATTTTAAAACACTATTGTCTTTTCTGTATTTAAAAAGGACAAAAAAGACAGGATGTAGGTATATGTGCAAAAGTAGAAAAGAACACCTAAACTAGTTAACAGTCGGGGGCGATTAGGAACTCAAGGTTCTGAATTCAGTAAACAAATAAATCTAGTATGAATGCCCTCTCCTCTCACCTATCTATTGAGTTGTAGAATATTTCCTCCATTACTGTATCAAGTGATGGGCTTTATGCTGTGAAATTCCCAAAACCTAAAGCTTATGGAATGGTCTCAATGTCCAAAGAGCACTTAAAACTCATTACTTACAAAATGATACCAAGTAAATGTTTCATACTCTTTACCATACCTTTGAAATATTCGAGTGGCTATATGAAATGGTCACAGGTTAGAAACAGATCATTGTCCAAAAGTTAAATAATATCTCACAGGTAATCACTTCAGTCACAGGAAGTGGAACCAGGATTGAAGAGGGTGCTGAACAAGCTAAGGTGTTGAATAGGCTACAGAAGTGGGGGTAGTATACCTGGAGTCATTAGTAAGTAGAGTTCTCAGATATGATCAAGATTAATTCAATGAGGAATGGAATATAGACAAGAAACGGCAGCAAGATTAGCAGGAAGCAGTCAGATCAAGTAGCCAATCAGGAATGGAAATGGTCCTTGAAAAGGAAAAGGTGATTGAATTGAAGCATACAATGAGATACCATTCTGTGGATCTGAGAAAGTAAAATTGGTTGGCATGTTAATATGGAATAGGGTTTCTACAATGCGTTTAAAGAATGTTCTCATTCTCTGAGAACTGAAGGGAGTTCCAAATAGGCAGTTTGTGAGTCATCGTGACCATGATGGTGATGATGATGATAAAGTCTCCTTTATGTAACAGGTGGCAGAAGATGTGGTTATGCTTACACGTTTTAAATTCACATAAAAGTAAAATATATATGGCCGGGTGTGGTGGCTCACACCTGAGGCTGAGGCACACAGATGATTGAGGTCAGGGATTTGAGACCAGCCTGGCCAACATGGTAAAAAGCCATGTCTACTAAAATACAAAAATTAGCTAGGAGTGGTGGCAGGTGCCTGTAATCCCTGCTACTCAGGAGGTTGAGGCAGAATCGCTTGAACCTGAAAGGAAGAGGGTGCAGTGAACCAAGATCGTGCCACTGCGCTCTAGCCTGGGTGACAAAGTGAAACTCCATCTCAAAAAAAAAAAAAAAAAGTAAAAATAGCTGGGCACGGTGGCTTGTACCTAGCTACTTAAGAAGCTGAGGCAGGAGGACTGGTTGAGGCCAGGATTTAGAGACCAGCATGGGCAACACAGGGATATTCTGTCTCTAAAAAAATTTAAAAGTAAATATAAGCAGAACTCTTCTGGCAAAGATTTCATTCATTCACTCATTTTTTAGAGACAGGGTTTCACTCTGTTGCCCAGGCTGGAGTGCAGTGATGTAATCATAGCTCCCTGTACCTTCAAACTCCTGGGCTCAAGTGATCCTCCCACCTCAGTCTCCCAAGTAGATGATACTATAGGTACATGCCATCACACCTGGCTGAAATTTTTCTTTCCTTTTTTTTTTTTTGAGATGGAGTCTCACTCTGTCATCCAGGCTGGAGTGCAGTGGCACAATCTCAGCTCCTTGCAGCCTCCACCTCCTGGCTTCAAGTGATTCTCATGCTTCAGCCTCCTGAGTAGCTGGGACTACAGGTGCGTGCCACCATGCCCGGCTAGTTTTCGTATTTTTAGTACAGGTGGAGTTTTGCCATGTTGCCCAGGCTGGTCTCGAACTCCTGGCCTCAAGTGATCCACCTGCCTTGGCCTCCGAAAACATAGGCATGAGCCACTATGCCCAGCCTGATCTTTAAATTTTTTATAGAGATAGGGTCTCACTATGTTGCCTAAGCTGAGATTTCTTAAAAAGGGACAGCATAAAAGACACCGGGTTTCGCATCAGTAGGTTGGAGTTCAACCTCAAGCTTCCAAAATTCTTGTCAGGAACTTTTTTTTTTGAGACAGGGCCTCACTCGACATGTCGCCCAGGCTGGACTGCAACCTCTGCCTCCTGGGTTCAAGCAATTCTCCTGCCTCAACCTCCCGAGTAGTTGGAATTACAGGCGTGCGCCACCACGTCAGGCTACTTTTTTGTATTTTTAGTAGAGACGAGGTTTCACCATGTTGACCAGGCTGGTCTCGAACTCCTGACCTCGTGATTGGCGCACCTTGGCCTCCCAAAGTGCTGGGATTACTGGGCTGAACCACCATGTCCGGCCTCTTGTCAGGAACCTTAAGTCACTCAATCATCTTGAATTTGAGTTTCTTCATCTAAAAAAAACCAGAGAACTGGAAGATCAGTGTGGCAATGCAGCTGAAAATATTCTATAAACCAGAGTGCTGGACAAATGCTAACCTATTATTGAATTCAGCACTTCATTCCAGCGGAGCTAGGAATTCCATATTTGGACCCACCTTGACAGGAGATGTCTGAAAAAGCTGCTTCCCGTCGCATGCCTTTTGGGCTCTGTGGGCAGCCCTTGCTGAATAAAACTTAATGACGGCATAGAAACCAGGTTGAGCCACTGCAGCGTTTGGGAAGACCCGGACGGAATACAAAAGGCCAAACTGGGAAAATGCTGTGAACAGAGAATGCTGTGGGGGTGGTCCCACGCCAAGAAAGCGCATGAAATCTCCCGCCCGGAAAACAAAACCACGCATGCCCTCATATTTCCCAAACCCCTCTTTGCGAAGCATGCGATTCAAAACACTTCCCACTTCACAGGTTTTCCTCTCGAAATCCTAAACTCTAAGAAGCACTAGCAGGTAAAACGTGCTGACGGTGGAGCGGTACCTCTCTGGTACTCTAAAAATCTGTTGGGGGTAGTTAGTTGTCCGCTGGGGTCTCCCTCTAGAATTAAGAATCCTTCAGCGGAGGCTGAGGCAGGAGAGGTGCTGAGACAGGACTCTGGAACTCCCAGTCCGCGGGTGGGCGGCTTTCTCTAGCCCTCCCTCCTCCCTGGCCCCGGCTCACATGCAAAGCTTCGGCCGTGGGTCCGGAGCTCAGCTCCCACACTAGCAACGTTTTGTCACTCTCGGTGGGAACCGCAAAAGGTACCAACTCCGCCATCCGCTAACGGCCATCCGCTAACCAACTCCGCTAACGCTCGCTCCAAGCACTGCGCCTGCGCAAGGCACGCCCGCGCGTTCCTTAAAAAAAAAAAAAAAAAAAAAAAATGGCGCGTGCGAGGGGCGGGGCCGGCGGTCGGATCGCTCCCTCCCGCTTACTACCTAGGACCGACCTCCGAGGCTGTTCCGCTCCTCCGGCCGCACGCCCACGATCCCTGAAATGGGCTTCCATTCAAGTGCATGTTTACGGTAGAGTCCCAAAATGAGCTGACTGGATGGAAAGGTAGGGACAAGTTTATAGCAGCCAGTTTTATCTTCATTCCAGAAGGAGATTAGGTCACTAAGTATTAGCACCACCTACTGAGCTTGTGGGAAATAACCACAAAAGATGCAATATTTCGACTTAAGAATTTTAAGAGTTTAAAATACACAAATAAAATATAACTCGGCCTGGCGTGGTAGCTCACTTCTGTAATCCTAGCACCTTGGGAAGCCGAGGCAGGCAGATCACCTGAGGTTGGGAGTTCAAGACCAGCCTGACCAATATGAAGAAACCCTGTTTCTACTAAAAATACAAAAGTTAGCCGGGCGTGGTGGCTCACGCCTGTAATCCCAGCTACTCAGGGGGCTGAGGCAGAATGCTTGAACCCGGGAGGCAGAGGTTGCGGTGAGCTGATATCGCGCCGTTGCACTTCAGCCTGGGCAATAAAAGTGAAACTCTGTCTAAAAAAAAAAAAAAAAAAAAAAAAGGTATAACTAACTAAGCCATTAACAGTCTAGCATGAAATCCCTAAAAAGAATTACCTATTTGTCCTACGTGATTCTGGTGAATTGTGTATGTGTACTTGTGGGGGTTAGATGATGTGCGAGTTTGGAGGTATGAGTTAGGAGGAGAGATTAATGAAAAAAAAAAATCAAAGAATAGGTCCAAATAGGGCACCAACATTGGATCTGATGGTGTCTGAGAAGGAGTAGGTGTCATAATCAGCTATGTGGTGGAGCAGTATAATCACCTGGTGGGTTCATCGTACCCACTGCCCAGAAAAGCTGATTTACTGAGACAGTGTTATTGAAGTAGTGTTTCATAAGCATCTAATCAGCTAAATAGAAGGCTGGAGTTTTATAATTACTCAACTTAGCCTCCCTGAAAATTTGGAAGCTGGTGTTTTTTTAAGGATAGTTTGGCAGTCAAGGGGTTAGGGAATAGGAAATGCTGATTGGTTGGGTCAAGGATGAAATCATAGTGAGTCAGAGCTTGTGTTCTTGTGCTGAGTGAATTCTTGGGTGGGGCCCACAAGACCAGAGGAGCCAGTTTGCCAATCTGAGTGGTGCCAACTGGTCCATCAGAATAAAGGGTCTGAAAAATACCTATAATACCAGTATTAGGCTTTACAAATAGTAATGTTGTAAGGAGTTAGTGAGCTTGCCTTAAGGAGCATGGGTACAAATCAATGGATGAGTCCCCAGAGAGATCCCTGCCTACAGGGTCAGTGTCTCATCCACACATAACATAAAAAGCAGCCTGGGAAAAAATTTAAGCTACAGGCACTCATAAGGGAACTAGCATAGGGTGTTGTGCCTGGAGACATGCCCACAGCTGCACAGATGGAAAAACCTCTGGCCCATTTGGATAAAAACTTGCGCAAACCTCCAGCTTACTCAGATAAAGGTATAAGGCCCCTTTGTCCTTTGTATAGTTAGCAGGCTCCCAGGACAAAGTTGCTTCTCCTTTTGTGGGCATGGGCACAGTGGACTCTGGTGGGTTCTGGGGCAACTCTCCTTTTGGGGTTGTAAGTCCAGCCTCTAGAATCATCATTTCAGCCTCTGCTGATAGGTCCTGGGCCAAGCTAAACAGCATCTAAGAATTTTCAGCTCCTGACTGGTCTTGGGCCAAGGCTCCTGGCCAAGTTGAGTTCTCCAAGACAGCTGGTGGACTAAGTCATTGCTCCCCTTTTCTAGTCCGTAAAAACCCTGGACCCAGCCTCATAGGGGGCACCCATTCTGGCCCCCACTCTCTGCTTGCAGAGAGCTTTCTTCTTTCGCTTATGAAACTTAAGCTCTAACCTCACCTTTGTGTCCACACTCCTTGATCGTCTTGGAGGTAGGACGAAGAATTCCGTGAGTTATCTCAGACAACTGGAGACTTATATCTTGGTGCACTGCTGAGACTATGGCAATGTTAGTATGGCAGCAACTGGGGAGGTTAGGAATCTTGTGGCCTCTGGCTACAGAATTCCTGAGCCATAATTTCTAATCTTGTGGTTAATTCATTAGTTTTACAAAGATCTGACTCCCAAGCAAGGAGGTAGTTTATTTCAGGAAGGGACTATTATCTTTGTTTCAAAGTTAAACAGTAAAAATTCTTCTTATAGTTAGGTTGGCCTGTGCCCAGGAATGAGCAAGCGCAGCTTGGAGGTTAGAAGCAAGATGGAGTCAGTTAGGTCAGATATGTTGTAATTTTTATAAAGGAAGTTTCAGATCCTACTGCTGTTTATTTTAATCCTAGAGTGTCAGAGCCAGAAGAGACCCTTCAGGACAAGTCTCTTGTGGTTTCTGAATAATGATCCTCAGACACATACTGTGATAAAGTTTTTGCCCCTATTCTAAAAAATGAGGACAATATGGAAAATGTAATCAGGTTTTTTATAATTTCATAAAATAAAGTAGATTCTACTCCATTCTTCTACAAGTATGATCTCGCTATAATGTTGATACTAAAAATTGTTTTATGAAAAGATGCTGATAAATAGAGGACTGTTGCTTCAATGCTCTTACATGGACATTAAAATTAAAAATTAGAAATCTTGCCCGGGCCTGGTGGCTCACACTTGTAATCCCAGCGCTTTGGGAGGCTGAAGCTGGTGGATCGCTTGAGGTCAGGAGTTTGAAACCAGCCTGGCCAACATGGTGAAACTTCATCTCTACTAAAAATAGAAAATATTAGCTGGGTGTGGTAGTACACACTTGTAGTCTCAGCTACTTGGGAGGCTGAGGCAGGAGAATTGCTTGAGCCTGGGAGTTGGAGGTTGTAGTGAGCCAAGATCGTGCCATTGCATTCCAGCCTGGGCTATGCAGTGAGACTCTGTTTCAAAAAATAAAAATTAGAAATCTCAGGTTTACTTATTTTTTTACATTTTATGACTTGTGAAATACAAAGACTGGGAACCACTGAATAGTCAAATCTCTCCTCTCATAATAGAAACAGTTAAGGCTCAGAGGTAGAGAAATGAGTGGTCCAAAATAAAACCCCAGTTTGTTCAGACACTACTGATGGTGGCTATGTGCAGGACATTCCTTCAACTGTGCCTTTTCTTTAAGCATGTTCAACTCCACATCAGCACCTTGCAGGCAAACCAGATCCTGTCCAGAGAAGCCTTTTTTAATCATCTAGATCCTATTCTCCCAAAGCACCACAAAGTTACTGGCATTTGCCACTATTTCTCCATTTCGTTGCTACTTTCTCCACCTCAATACCAGACTCTTAGCCCCACCCATTGCCTGCTTCTGAGCTTTGTCTTTTACTTCCAAAATAATTGTCCTTTGGAGAAATTACTTGGATTCAGATATTGTTTCAAAGCAATAATTATGGATTTTATTATAAATTTAATTATCTATTGTAATGTTTGTGGATGTCATGCTTCTCCACCTAGATTATGAACACCTAAAGAACAATAGTTGTGTTTTATCTTCCTTCTAGTACCTAGTACACTCCCACAGTCTTAGGTACTCAAATATTCGTATAATAATGAAAAATTGACACATTCTTTGCAGAGTGAGTGCTTTAATATTTCAAAAAATAGAGAAATTTCTTTATTGTGGTTCTTAGTTTGCAAATGACAGACAGGTACCAGGAGACTGGGTCCAGATGGGAGCAAGGAGGAAGCCAACAAAACCATTTATTCTTGGGGCTCTGGTCAGTTTTACTTGTAAATGGGAAGGGAATAAAATAACATGAAGTTGAGGCAATAGGAAGAAGAAATGAAGAATCCCTGAGTGAGGACAGAAGTCTTGGAATGACTCCATGGTGCACCCCCACGCTGTTTCATCCCAGGTGGCATCCTGTCATCCAGTAGGAGAGGGGCCGGCCTGAACAGTACAACCTCCATTTTGCCCTGTGGAGATAAAAGACATGGTTCTTGCCTCACACTCAGTAACTCCTTCACCCACATGACCCAGTTCTTGGTAAGTCTCCCATGTAGAGCAATGCCCAGAATCCCCTTCATTGCTAGCTCTCTGGTCTGTCCTCCACTGGCCCCTCTGATGAATCCTGTTAAACTCTCATCTCTGGTGTTTGCCTGCTTCCCTGGATCAACATTTCGACTTTTTTTTTTTTTTTTTTTTTTTTTAGGTGGAATCTCACTCTATCACCAGGCTGGAGTGCAATGGGGGGATCTCAGCTCACTGCAACCTCCGTCTCCCGGGTTCAAGAGATTCTCCTGCTTCAGCCTCCAGAGTAGCTGAGACTACAGGTGTGCACCACCACGCCCAGCTAATTTTTGTATTTTTAGTAGAGACGCAGTTACACTATGTTGGCCAGGATGGTCTCTATATTTTGACCTCGAGATCCGCCCACCTTGGCCTACCAAAGTGCTGGGACTAGAGGCGTAGGCTACCACGCCCAGCTGTTTCCACATTTTTAAATCCTCATCTCTTCTTGAAGGGGTGAGCACTGTTTTACAGGGCTGAGAGTTACTTGTTAAAAAAAAAAGTCCCAGATGCAACCACTGATTCTCCCTCCAGAAAGGATTAGCATAATCATCACTGCCCATTCTTTTCTGCCGTGTTTTTAGTATGCAAGGCATTTGACTCCTACTAGGAACTGCCTCACAGTCGCCTGCAGGGGCAGCTGTTTGTGTTACTTATATATCTACTTTGAAGCTCAAAAAAAAAGGTGACTATCTCAATGTCCATTACAGCTTTGTGGGTGTCTACTCAGCTGATGAGCGCCACTTTTTTTTTTTAAGATGAAGTCTCGCACTGTTGCCCTGGGTGGAAAGCAATCTCAGCTTACTGCAACCTCCACCTCCCGGGTTCAAGCAATTCTCCTGCCCCAGCCTCCCAAGTAGCTGGGACTACTGGCACCTGCCATCACTTCCAGCTAATTTTTGTATTATTAGTAGAGACAGGGTTTCACCATATTGGCCAGGCTTGTCTCGAACTCCTGACCTTGTCATCCACCCACCTTGACCTCCCAAAGTGCTGGGATTACAGGTGTAAGCCACCGCACCATGCCACAGAATTTTAAATTAAAAAATGTTCTCAATTATGGTCACAGGGCCCCTGTGGCAGCCATAATTATATGGCTTAACTCCTCGCATCCTTACAGTTGATTGGACCAAGGGGTAACATGTGGTCCAAGTGGAACCAATCAGATTCTCTATTCCAGAAACTTGGACTGAGACTGAGCCTAGCCAGTCTCTGTGGTTGCTGAGAACTTTAGTCCATTACCTTTGCAGAGCCCTTTAGATGGTGGAGCAGAGAAGTCTGCAGAGAGAGTAGTGAAGCAAATGCACCAAGAGAAGCTGAAACCTGCCACAAAAACTTGCTGACCCAGCCCTGGTTCCATGCTCTTCCTGAGGCCCAGCTGCAGCCCTTGAGTGGGCTCAGTGAGACACCTGGTCCTCAGAATAAATTTCCCACAGCTAGCTTAAGTTGTTTTCTGTTACTGCAACCAGAAGAGTTTTGTTTAATAGAGTATCAGAGAAGAACCAGATCCCACATCTTCTAACTCAGAGTTCCAAGCCTGTCTACTATCCCTCATCTTTCTAGACACTGCAAGGGCATTCCTGTAAGTCCTTGCCTACTGCCCTTCTCTCTGTCATGCCCTCCTTTGTGGGACTCTGCCCGTGAACTGAGTCCCACTGTGTCCTCCTCACCAGTTGTTCATCCCCCCTGCTCCAGATACAATCCTTTTTGCACAATGGATGCCTGCGAGAAGGTTGGGATTCAGCAGATCTGAAAGGGAGGAAGAGAAAACCTGTTAGGGTACAGAAGACAGTCTCAAAGATAGAGCCAGACACTGTCCCTCCCTTCACAGGCCTATGCCAACCAGGGGCTTCCAGCTGAGGCAAAGCCTCTCTCCCAGGGGCCCATTTAGACATCCCTACAATGGCTGCTAGAGGCTGGAGGTGAAAGGGGGTGTGGGCAGAAGGAGCAAGAGGCCTGAGATTTGGGCCTGTTCACCTTTATTCTTCCTAACCAGAGTAGATGGTGGTTCACCCAAAGTTTGTGGGAGGCTTCCAGGGAGAGGAAATGCCAAAATACCATAGAGTATGTCCTGCCTAGTGAGTGAGGGTCTTCAGGTGAGGAGCCAGGGACATTAGTCAGTGTGTGAAGGTGGAGGTGAGAGGCAGAGTCATGGGCCCTGGCAAGCCTCCTGGATCAGCTCTGAGGTAGGGAGTTTGCACGCGGCCTTTGGTCAGACCATTAGCTGAAGATGGTGCTCTGGAATGGTTAGGAGCCTGTGAGGCTTCTAGTCTGGCATTCAGGTTCTCTTTTTTGAGCCTTAGTTTGCTGTTTTGTATAGCGGGGATCATAAATGGTTTCTACTGCAAGAAAGTTGGATGAAATGAGTGAAGTGTGTAAAGTGCTTAGTGTATAATATGCTCTCAATAAACAATGACTGCCGCAGCTGTGTACAGAGCCTTACTGGATCCTCCTCAAGGACTCTATGGAATCTAACTGGATGGGCATTAGGGAGACCAGTCCAACCCTCTGCTCAGTAAAGGGATTCCCTGATTTTTTTGAACGATATCTCTGGGGCCATTCCCAGGTTGTGGGTGGGAAGAGAAGTTCTGTGAGCAGAGCCTGGTCTCCCCTCTCACCTCTCCCACCCTGGGGCCCTGGCCAGACCTTGACACTCCACGTGGCAAAGGTTTTCTGAGTGACTCTTGTGATCATTGCACCAGTAGTGGCTGTTGATCTGGAAGAGGCCATAGTCAAAGCTTCCATCTGCATTTTCATTTATCTTTGATATGTTGAACTTGCTTTCCACAAAAGCCAGGCACAGCCCTTAGAGTAGGGAGAAGACAGTCAGGATTTAGAGGAGACCAAGCTGAGTGAGAAGGGAGATGGAGGAGAAAGGGAGGCAAGGAATTAGACAAAAGGAACAAGGCCTGGGGGGCAACATAGGTCTAGAGGTCTGGAAACTTCCATTGACTTTCCTTCTCATCCTTTGGTCCATCTATCCACTCATTGGTACAACCACTCATCTGTCTATCTATTCATGCTTCTTGCACTTACTGAGCACCTACTGTGTGCCAGGAACTGTGCAAAGCCGAATGAGGGACATTTCAGTTGGGTCAAACACAGATGCTGCCTTCAAGGGGCCTATATTACAAGAATAAAAATATGTACCTAAAAAACCCGCAAAGCAAGATAAAAGGTCAAAAGTGTTGCAAGACAGGTGCACACAAATCCTGGGCAAAAGGGAGCTATCCCTTCCATGCAGGAGAATAAAGGCTTTGCACTGGTTGTCCACTCTGCCTGGAATATTTTTCCCACAGACATTTGAGTGACCAGGTCCTTCATTTCATTAGGTGCTGCCCAATGTCACTTCCTCAGAGAGGCCTTTCCTGACTTCCTCATCTAAACAGTGTCTCCATCGCTCCCCCTACTTTATTCTTTTTCATAACATTAATCACCACCAGGCTGTACTTTCTTTATGAGTGTGTTTGTTGCTGCTCTATTCCCTTAGGATGTGAACCCTATGAGGGAAGAGAATTTGTTTATCTCTACATATCCTGCATCTAAAACAGTTCTTGGTACATAGTAAGTGCTCAGATAATAACTGTTGAATGATTATGGCGTGTTGGGAAAGGCTTCTTGAAGGGAGCTGCTTTTTGAACTTGGCTTTGAAAGATGAACAGGAGAGAAAGAAGCTGGCCATGTAGGACATGATTAGGAGAGGAGGAGAAATGGCAGGGGAGGGGCTGATGGTACTCACAGTGACTCAGGGAGTAGCCCTCAAACCCGTCCAGGTCCTCCTGCTGCAGCACCTGGGCCAAGTCACAGCGACTGATGAGGCCGGCCTGATTTAGGGCAAGGAAGCTGCTGACCAAGTAGATGAGTAACAACTTTGTCATCCTCGGAGGGGAGGAGATGCAGCTGAAGGCTGACGGTTCTTAGGGCCTCGCAGACTTTCTGTTGATCTTCTCTGAGAGCCTGGGGAATCTGGAGACGGCAGCCAGATTTCCTTACTCATTGCTCCAACCTGGCGTTTCCAATCTCTTTTCTCTTGTTTGTTATTTTATAGATTTTTTTTTATCATAGAAAATTAAACATTTACAAAAGGAGAGAGAATAGTATCATGAACCTCCATATACTCACTTCTGAGCTTCAACATTTAGAAACCAAGGCCAATCTTTGTTGTTGTTCATTTTTTTTTTTTTTTTAAGAGATGGGGAGTCTCACTATGTTGACCAGGCTGGTCTTGAACTCCTGGCCTCAAGTGGTCTTCCCGTCTCAGCCTCCCAAATTGCTGGGATTACAGGCATGAACCACCACACCTGGCCAATCTTATTTCATCTGTAGGTCCTCTTATACGGGCGCTCAGCTATGGGTAGTATTTGAGTATAAGGATGGGGACTGAGGCTGGCAAAAGAGATTACTGAAGACCATCTTCACAGCATGTGTGTGTGTGTGTGTGTGTGTGTGTGTATCTGAGCATGTACTTTTAGAAGGAAAGCCAGGACACTGGGTATTAATCTCCCCACAACCCCATTCTCCCAGACACAGGACACATGATTTTTCCCAAGGGCATACCCTGCCTGGTACAATTCTTGGTGGGCTGGCTGTAGACATACCTTCACTTTCACATTGTGTGTGTGCGTATTTGTGTGTTGAACAGCAAGGGCCCCAGCAAGGGCTTTCAAATCCTGTGCTGCTATGTGACCTTGGCAACATACTCAACCTTTCTGGGCCTCATTTGTAAAATGAAGATAGGCTAATACCTACCTAATAGGGTTGTTGTGATGATTAAATGAACTAATGCCCAGATCTTGGTTCACATTCCACACAGAAGGGGAACTGGGACTCTAGGAAATATGGCTGATTCCCAGGCTGGAGCAGGAAAGAGATGTCTGAATTATCTTGTGGTACCAGAAATTTAAAAAGTGCTCACTCCTCGGCCTTTTGGCTAAGATGAAGTGTAAAAAGTGTTGCTCAAAATATAGATTGAGGCATGTCAAATGCACCCAAGAGCTAGCTCAAAGGGGCACCAAATGGCCAGATCTGGAACAATATTTTTTGGTAAAAGCTTTATTGATATATCATTCATGTATCATATAATTAATTCAGTTAAAATGTACAATTCAATGGTTTTCAGTATATTTGCAGAGTTGAGCAACTACTAGCTCACTTGATTTTAGAATATTTTCATCAATCCAAAACAAAACCCTGCACCCATTTAGCAATGACTGCCCATCCCCCTCCTCCCAACCCCTGGCAACCACTAATCTATTTTCTGTCTCTAGGGATTTGCACCCATTTAGCAATCACTGCCCACCCCCCTCCTCCCAACCCCTGGCAACCACTAATCTATTTTCTGTCTCTAGGGATTTGCCTATTCTGGACATTTCATATACATGGAGTTACATAAAATACGGTATTTTGTATCTGGATTCTTTCACTTAGCATAATGTTTTCAAGGTTCATTCAGGTTGGAGCACATAATGATACTTCATTCCTTTCTATGGTTGAATAATTTTCCATTGTCTGAATAGACCATAGTTCATTCATCAGTTGATGGACATTTGGGTTGTTTCTATTTTTGGCTATCATGAATAATGCTGCTATGAACATTCACATACTAGTTTTTGTGTGGACATATGTTTTTATTTCTTTGAAGAAGAATTGCTGGGTCATGGGGTAACCTAGGCTTAAACTTTTGAGGCCTACAAGATTTCTTTTTTTTTTGGCCTACAAGATTTCTAAAGTGGCTGCATCATTTTGCATTCCCATCAGCAGTGTGTGAAGGTTCCAATTTCTCTATATCCTCACCAACACTTGTTATTATCTGTCTTCTTGACAAAAGGTATTGTAATGGGTATGAACTGGTATCGCCCTGTGGTTTTGATTTGCGTTTTCCAGATGGCTATGGATGTTGATCATCTTTTTATGTGCTTATTGGCAGTTGTATATCTTTGGGAAAATGTCTATTCAGAACCTTTGCCAAATTTCAAATTGAGTTGTCTTTTTATTACTGAGTGGGAAGAGTTCTTTATCTATTCTGGATTCTAGACCAGCATCAGATATATGGCAGATATTTCTTCCCATTCTGTGGGTTGCCTTTCACTTTCTTGATGGTATTCTTTGAAGCCCCGAAGTTTTAAATTTTGATGATGTGCAATTTATTTTTCCTTCTGTTGTGTGTACTTTGGTGTCATATCTAAGAAGCCATTGCATAATGGTTTCCAAGGTAATCTGGGACAATTAGACCATCAAAATAAATGACAGTAACAGATTATATATTAAATGCAATAGGAATCCATGAGCCCATAATAATAATACATTGACAAAAAGATGCATACTGTGGAGCTGAAGCAGAGACCTCTTCCTGACAGTAAAAGGCTAACTGATAAATGTGGAGGAAGTCACGGAGTTGAAAATTAATCACCATTTTGCTACCATCATAGCTTAGTTTGAGAAATAATCACTATTGCATGCTTAATCTGAGGAGGTGGGAAGCCTGCTGAAGAACTGGATACGTCCATGATCTTATAGGGTCTCCCCACAGATTGCTTGTTAGTTGCACAGAAAGAAAAAACAAAACAGTATACAGTGAATAACCAGACAGTATTTTGACCTTGCAATCAAATTAACATCTGCGATGAGGGACAGAGGGACATTATGTGCCTCCAGATGTGATTCCCAAGGAGGACACATCGCTTATGTAGTATTCTGTCCAAGGATGCAGAGCCTGTGTCTAATCCTGAGGAAATATCAAAGTCAAACTCACTGAAAATCTGTAAGATAACTGGCCTGTATTCTTTAAAATGACCAATGCCATGAAAACTGAAAGACTGGCCAGGCATGGTGGCTCATGCCTGTAATCCAGCACTTTGGGAGGCAGAGGTGGGCAAATCACGAGGTCAGGAGTTCGAGACCAGCCTGGCCAACATGGTGAGACACCGTCTCTACTAAAAATACAAAAAAATTGCTGGGTATGGTGGCTCACACCTGTAATCCCAGCACTTTGGGAGGCTGAAGTGGGCAGATCACTTGAGGTCAGGAGTTTGAGACCAGCCTGGCCAGCATGGCAAAACCTCATCTCTACTAAAAATACAAAAATTAGCTGGGCATGGTGGTGGGCGCCTGTAATCCCAGCTACTCAGGAGGCTCATGCATGAGAATTGCCTGAACCTGGGAGGCAGAGGTTGCAGTGAGCCGAAATTGCGCCATTGCAATCCAGGTGACAGTATGAGACTTGATCTCAAAAAAAAAAAAAAAAAAAACCTTTCAATAAATCTGAAAATCTGGGACTGTTTCTGTCACTGAGGGAAGGTGTGTTTTTCCCCTTAAACTAGGTGTATGTTGCTGACGGGTCAGAGGCCCTAATTCTTCCATCCACCACCTTCAAGTGGCCGGCGGCTTCTGCTTGGGCAAGATGACTACCCTGGTGGGCTTGTTTCTTCTCTGGTCTTGATATAGGAGGCAGAAATAAATTACTTAGGTATACAGTTAGGGTAAAGTGAGTCCCCAGCAGAAAACTTTCCTTATAACAAAAACCAGCTCAAAGATAGCTCCCTTTCTAACCTCATGCACTTCAAGGAAATCACTTTTCTTCTAAAAACAAGCAGCCTGAAAGAGCAGACAGTAAAATAGATAAGACAACTCAGGCACAGAAGGATGTGGGGGAAGTCTCCTGCATAATAACCAAACTTTACACTTACACAATGGGCCTGGTAAAACAGTAGGCCTTAATAAGCACATTCCTTTTCCTTTCTTTCTTTCTTTTTTTTGAATCTGTCACCCAGGCTGGAGTGCAATGGCACGAACTTGGCTCACTGTAATCTCCACCTGCCGGGTTCAAGCGATTCTCCTGTCTCAGCCTCCCAAGTAGCTGGGATTACAGGTGCCCAACACCATGCCCAGCTAATTTTGCATTTTTAGTAGAGATGGGGTTTCACCATATTGGTCAGGCTGGTCCCGAACTCCCAACCTCAGGTGATCTCCCTGCCTCAGCCTCCCAAAGTGCTGGAATTAAAGGCGTGAGCCACTGTGCCTAGCCCCACATTCATTTTTTTTTAGGCACACTAAGATAGGGCAGCTAAAAGCAGACTCGAGAGGTGTGCCTGCAGCTGCAAGAAGATGTATGTGAACAGACACAGAAACTCTCCCTCCCAGATAAGCAAGACAAAGAAACACAGACTAAAAGTTGGCCTGTGTGGTCTAGGAATGGGGTGAGAGCCTATTAAAAACTCTGCTCTATACAGATAGCACTCCTGGGTCCCAAATGAACCGTCGGGGCCTAAGAGGATAAGACATTACTTCCTCAAGAGCTACCCCCTCACTAGCCCATTTATAAAACCCTGACTTTTTTTTTTTTTTTGAGATGGAGTCTCGCTCTGTTGCCCAGGCTGGAGTGCAGTGGCAAGATCTCGGCTCACTGCAAACTGCTTCCTGAGGTCAAGCAATTCTCCTACCGCGGCCTCTGGTGTAGCTGGGATTACAGGCATGCATCGCCATGCTCCGCTAATTTTTGTATTTTTAGTAGAGACGGGGTTTCACCATGCTGGCCAGGCTGGTCTCAAACTCCTGACCTTGTGATCCACCTGCCTCAGCCTCTCAAAGTGCTGGGATGACAGGCGTGAGCCACTGCACCCAGCAAAACCCTGACATTTTTTACTACCACCCGGGAACCCACTCGGGGCCCCTGTCTATGATAGACAGCTGTTCTTTCCTTTTGCCTATTAAATACCTGCTCCAAACTCACTCTGTGTGTGTCTGTGTCTGCGACCTCTATCTCCTTAACATGAGACCACGAACCTTGGTATTTACCCTAGACAACGAGGCTGCTTCAGTCTCTTGTTCTATCCAAGACTCATTCCACACCAGCCTGAGCTTGGAGCCATTCTTTTGCTTCTCCCATCCTCCTACCCTCAGAGCTGACAGATTAAGCAAGCAAAATTTACAAGATGCCCTGTTAGATTAGAATTTCAGACAAACAACAACCTACCCCACACTGACTCCAGAGGGTCCCTCAGAGATAGATGTCACTGAGCTTCAGGAAGCAGGAAGCTCCATCCCTGCCCATTAACCCCCTTTCAGTAAGGAGGACAGTGGTTCCAGAAGGTATGTTCCTACCCCTTCCACAGCTTACCCTTCTCCCATCCCTCTCTGACCCTGGGTTCTGGCTGGCCCGGGGATTTCTGGGAGGATGGTAGAACAAGACTGTCTGCAGTAGGAACCTCCTCTTCCTCACCACCTACGCTTCAGCCCTACCCAACTAACAGCTTTTCATGTTCTAAAGAAGGAAGGAGTGCTGGGCCACCACAGCCTTCTGGAACCTCAGTTCTGTGACATCATCCATCTCTTGGAAATACACTGGCTTTAACCTTTGCAAATTGGCCAAGAGTCAGGCAGAAATAGCAGCTGGGACTGGGATGACAGGTGACATCTGTGAGAAAAATGTCTGGGTGGGACAGGGTGGAGAGTGCTGGCTGTTCCCTTCCTTTCTGGGAACAGCACCACCTTTGGGGGAACTCCTTCCCTCATGGGGTTTTAGTGGGGACTGCCAGTCTTAGGCCCTGCCCCCATCACCCCCCATAAGCATAGGAATGCTTGTGGGCCAGGCATTGTATTTCTAAGTGGAAGCTAGTGGAGGGGCTCAGCTTATCACAGGAAGCCCTTGTGTGCAGGGCCAGAGGACACAGCCCCATCTGAGGTGCTAAGCCTCTGTGAAGAGGGAGAGAGTGGAGTCTGGACAGGATTCCAGTCCCAGGGTCCACCCTTTCTGGGACCCAAACCCACCCTTCCCCTTCCTTCAATTCTGAGGTTTGATAAATGTCTGTACTCACAAAACAAGTTTGAGTTGGGTTTCTGTCACTTGCAGCCAAAGGAGCCAGTTATAGTCAGCATCGAGTCAACCACCTGTGAAACGGAACCTGTCCCCTGTCTGTGAACGCCACAATATCCCAGCATCATTAGTCACCAAGGAAGTCTGGGAGAAACTTCTACCAATAAACAAAACAAAATAAATGAACTCAGCATTCAACTCAAGAAGTTATAAGAAGTAGAAGAAAAACATGTCCAAGGAAAACAAGAAAAAGTAAAGCATAAGAATAAAAGCATGACACACACATTTAATTGGATTCAGAGGAAACTGTTGGATGAGATGTTAAAAACAGAGTTGGGAAATGACTGGAGAACTTGTGTATTACATTCCACTTACTATGGACCTTGGGTCCTTTTCTGTAGCATTAGTGTTGGACTAAATTCTTCAACATTTCCTTGCAAAGACAGGCTACTCTGAAGCCAAGGAGTTCCCATCAACCTTTTCAAATCTTTTTTAGGGAAGGTCAGATAGTAAATATTTTAGGCTTTGTAGGCCACATATGGTCTCTGTTGAATATTTCTCTTTGTTTCTTTTATTTTTCCATCACAGTCCTTCAAAAATGTAAATGCCATTCTTAACTTAATGGGCTATTTAAAAATAGGCCACAGATTAGATTTGATCTACTGGTTGTGGACTGAATATAAGAAGATGGTATGTGAACGCTTATAAAACAAGGTTCATATAGGTGTCAATCACTGCTCAGATCATATTACCATTGAAATTGTTTTCTGTCTGTATTTTGTCTATATAATTTAATAATTGAAAATGCATAGGAGGTAGTTAATGCTAGAGATGGGCAGGGACCCTATACAAACTTACAGAATTGCAGAATTTAATGCTGGAAGAAATCTTAGAGATTATCTAATTTGAACCCCTGATTCATTTTACCGATATGACTAAAAACTCATAAATATGATTAACTAACTGACTTACAAATCCTGGAGGGATAGTAGGCATTCAAATGAATTCTTATGTAATCTAGTCAAATAATTTTCATTGAGAATTCTGGAAAATGTAAGTTATTTCTAGATAAAAATGCAAACTACAACTATTTGCTTACACAGGACTAACTCTTGTAGGTGGAGAAAAGTCGGGTAATGGTAATTTCTTTCTTTCTTTTCTATTTTTTTTTTTTGAAACAGAGTTTCCCTCCATCACCCAGGCTGGAGTATAATGGTGCGATCTCAGCTCACTGCAACCTCTGCCTCCCAAGTTCAAATGATTCTCGTGCCTCAGCCTCCTGGGTAGCTGGGATTATAGGCATGCACCACTATGCCCAGGTAATTTCTGTATTTTTAGTAGAGACACCACACCTGGCTAATTTTTGTAGTATTAGATGGGGTTTTACCATTTGCCCAGGCTGGTCACAAACCCCTGACCTCAGGTGATCCGCCTGCCTCGGTCTTCCAAAGTGCTGGTATTTCAGGTGTGAGCCACCGTATCCAGCCCACAAACTTTCTCTTAGTTTTAGTTAATCCTATGGCATCCACCACAGCAACTGCCATTTCCTTAGGCCAAAGCCACAAAAAAATAGACTCCCTGAATGCCTGTTGCTGGTTCCAGTTTTCAGTGTTTATTCCGACATCTGTCTACTTTTGTGTAGTCGCCCATGTTCTCAGTTATATTTTAAATTTTTGTCCTGAGTTGATGGCTTTGACTTGCAGAATGGTCAATTTGTTAGGTGTGTGAGGCGCTTAGTTCCCCATGCCGGAAGCACAGACTAGGTGACAAATTTAATATGAACTTTAGTCAGATTCTTATTAAAATTGTGCTTTTTTTGAGACAGTCTCGTTCTGTTGCCCAGGCTGGAGTGCAGTGGCACCATCTCGGTTCACTGCAACCTCTGCCTCCTGGGTTCAAGTGATTCTCCTGCCTCAGCCTCCCAAGTAGCTGGGATTACAGGTGTCCACGACCACATCCAGCTGATTTTTGTATTTTTAGTAGAGATAGGGTTTCACCATGTTGGTCAGGTTGGTCTCGAACTCGACCTCAGGTGATCCATCCATCTCTGCCTCCCAAAGAAAATTGTTCTCCTTGGTAGGTCCTATCAAACAGTACCAAGGTGTTTTGTGTACTCCTTGCCATCACTCTGACTTTGCTTTATTCTTCATTATAGAATCCGATGATGTGTATGTTTGTGTATGGTCTCTCTTCTCACTTTTAGGGGGAAGAAAAGCTCTTTGAAGGAAGGATGTTTAACTGTTGTGCTCTCAGTGTGTACTGAATGCCTCACCTCTCTTTGAAAGGGGAAATAACAAGGTGAAGTGGGAAGGTGGAAGGTGTGGGCAGCATGAGGAGCTTTTCTGATCAACCTCGAGCCAGCCCTGTGAGCACACAGAGAGATTAGTCATTGTTACTTTTAACCACTGGGTGGCGCTGCTCACTAATTTTCCTAAAATCAAGTCAGGCAACATTTGCTTTTCAGCAGCTCAATCCAGAACTCCAGGACCTAAATCCATACTCCAGGACCCAGCTTAAACTGTCATCTCAGAGGCGACACATCCCTGCACTGACCCCCTCACTCACAGCTAGCGCGCCCCATCACACTGACTTCAACCCCCACCCCCATGCCTTTGTGTGAAATTAATGATTAGACATTTAGTGAGCCCCCAACTAAGGTGCAAAGGGCCCTGGATGGGAGCAGGGTAAATTAGAAGTGGCCTCTGCCCTCTGGGACAGGTGTTTTGAACTGGCTTAAGATAAGCAGTAGATGTAATGGATTAACCTCCCTCCTATGCATCCAGAGAGGTGCCGGTTGTGTATCATCCATAGGAGAATTGAGAAAGCAGTCACAGGTTGGGCGTCTGTGCTCTGTGGCTCGGCTGAGAAACCTCATGCATATGGTCTGTACAAGAACACTCCTTTTTTAGTCAGAATGCAGGGGGAAGTTCTGAGTGTGTGCTAAGGGTGGAAATAACTGTTTCTTGATTCAAATGATTTCTTGATTCTTCTGCTCATGACATGATTCCTTTTCCACCAGCTTCTTTTGTGTTGTAGTTGTGGGAGCCGAGAAGCGTCACTTGACTGTGTCTTGCTTCTTCCAGCAAGAACTTGCAGGACACAAGCAGTGTTTCTCTGGGAAGGGAACTCTTAAGTACTAAATCTCTGCTGTGAGGCAGGCCTAATATAGGTACTTTACGTATACTAACCAGTGTAATTCTCCTAGTAACCTGTAGTTGCTGGTGTTGCCAGCTCCATTTTTTTTTCTCTGAGACAGAGTTTTACTCTGTCGCCCAAGCTGGAGTGCAGTGGCATGATCTCAGCTTGCTGCAACCTCCATCTCTTGGGTTCAAGCGATTCTCCTGCCTCAGCCTCCCGAGTAGCTGGGATTATAGGCATGCGCCACCATGCCCAGCTAATTTTTATATTTTTAGTAGAGACGGGGTTTCACCATGTTGGCCAGGCTGGTCTTAAACTCCTGACTTCAGGTGATCCTCCCGCCACAGCCTCCCAAAATGCTGGGATTATAAGCGTGAGCCACCATGCCCAGCTAAGAAGCAAAATAATTGATGGCACTTTTAAGGACTCCAGGGAGGAAGGCAGTTCTGCTGCTCATTGCACAGCTTCTATTCCCTTCTCCAGCAACTCTGTCTCCCTCCCCTCTGGCTCTCAGGGGCAAGGCTCCGGTTCCTCCTGGTTTACTTGAAACAACTTCAGCCCTTCCTCTGAAGTGTTAGCCCCATGTCCTGGGGGAATGTCCTTCCTTAACCAGGGTTACTCATGCATTTTCTTAACAAAGGTTATTTCCTCTATGATAGGAATTCCTGCTTTGGCTGCTAAGAGATTAATGCTGTTTTCCATTTTATTATGATGTTTGTTCCTGTACCTGAAGCTGGTGGTTGTCACAGCAGCCCTGTAAGGTATCAGCTCCATTTTACAGAAGAAGAAACTGGGCTCAGAAATGTTAAGGCTATTGCTAATAAATACCAGACTCTGGAGAGATTTGACGTCCCTTTCTGCATTTGCCCAATCCTTCAAACTCTCTCTTGGTGGGAATCGGAAGATACCTGAATGGAGGCCAGGTTCTCCAGGGAGACCAGGTCATGCAAAAAGCAGGCCTCAGGCTTTGAACTATTGCTTCTTTAGTCAGATGACCTCAATCTTTCGCATATTCATACAAGCCTTAGCTTGTATAGATTGGAGGTTTCTTCTGTTTAAAGTACAGCCTCCAGTTCTAGTGGCAGATCTGCTGGTGGTTTGTAGCATGACCTTCGCTAAGGCTTTCCATCTCTGGGCTTGAATTCCCTTATCTTCACAATGATAGGAAGCTCCTTCCTGTCTTACGTTCTGTGGCCCTAAAGAAAAGTCAGATACTGGAACAATAAGGCCTATTGAGCCTTATTCTTATTAGCCTTATCTGCTAAGCACTCTCTCACATTGCCTCTTTATCCTCTCAACACTGGAGGGTAGGCATTATTATTGATCTATTTTACAGATGAGGAAACCAAGGCTTAGGAGGATTAGTAGTTACCCAAGACCTCACAGTGAGTAACAGAGTTGGGACTCAAACACTGCCCACCTCTGCATGCTACAAGAGGCTGGGGCCCCAGAGAGGACGCAGCCCCAGGCCTTCCAGGAAGGGGCTCCAGGGCATATGACAGGGAGAGAGGTGAACATTTTACCTCTTAGGCCTGGCTGCATAGGTCATTTCCAGGACCAGAGTGAGCTAAGGCTGAAGGCAGCGGAGCAAGGAACAGGGGCACTGCAGGTGAGTGAGAGGAGGCTTCCAGGAGGAGGGGATCTTTACCCAGCAGTCCTCAGATGCGTCTGCCAGGTGCACTGCACCAGGGAGGGTAAATACAGATTTGTGGATTGACTGAGAAGCCACAAGGTTTGGAGATAAAGCTTTTTTTTTTTTTTTTTTTTTTAAAATAAAAGATAGGGGGTCTTGCTCTGTCACCGAGGCTGGAGTGCAGTGGCTATTCATAGGTGCAATCATGGCACACTATAGCCTTGAACTTCTGGGCTTGTGATCCTCCTTCCTCAGCCTCCTGAGTCACTGGGACTATAGAACACTACTGCACCTAGCATGGAGACAGTACTTTTAAACCATTGCATCAACTCTGTCCCCATGTGCCAACTCAGGCTGCTGATGACCCTCAATAGTTGCTCTCATATGTGCAAGCACATATATGCTTTCATGGGAAGAAAATATGTGCTCATGTAACCCATCTGAGAAGGCTTAATAATATTTCTTTTTTTTTGAGACAGAGTCTTGCTCTGTTGCTAAACTGGAGTGCAGTTGGTACAATCTTGGCTCACTGCAACTTCCTTTACCTGGGTTCAAGTGATTCCCCTTCCTCAGCCTCCCAAGTAGCTGGGACCACAGGCACTTGCCACCACACCCGACTAATTTTTTGTATTTTAGTAGAGATGAGGTTTCGCCATGTTGGCCAGGCTGGTCTCCATCTCCTGACCTCGTGATCCACCCGCCTCCGTCTCCCAAAGTGCTGGGACCACAGGTGTGAGCCACAGTGAACGGCCCAAAGGCCTAATAATATTTCAAACAGGCCTGCTGAAACCAGTTACAGGACCTCTAGTCATCTGGTTCAAGGCCTCATGGTGTCCAAGACAGCTGTGTAGAAAGAGGACATGCAATCCATCCTCTGTGACGCCCAGTAAAATGCTCTTTGTACTACCCAGAGTTGTTCCTTTAATTTCTTCCCTTCTTGTTCCAGTCGGTTCCCAGCCACCTGCATTCTACAAGGCAGATGGTCAGTCATACAAGATGTTAGATAATAGGTTTATTTGCTTTAGGATGATCAGGGCTGGAAAACTCTGTATATCAGAATGACTGAAGTCCTTTCTGTACTCGTTTGTGTGTTTAAGGTCAGCCATCTATCTACCTACCTTGAAAAGACTAGGAATACCCTTCTTGAAAAACAACTGGGTCAGGTACAGTGGCTTATATCTGTAATCCCAGCACTTTGGGAGGCTGAGGCCAGCAGATCACATGGTCAGGAGATCGAGACCATCTGACTAACACAGTGAAACCCCAACTCTACTAAAAATATAAAAAATTAGCTGGGTGTGG